GATGCGAGCGAGCGTATAGTTACGGACATTGTGTATCTACTATGGAGTTCGTGTCTTCTTAATGACGGTGGTTTCCGAAGTAAATTTAATAGACAAAAGTCGATTCTTTCCGCCTACGCTATAATGATGGGATTAAGTATCTTACAAGTACATTCGAATTTTTGTTGACGTAGTTTCAGAAAATAAAAAATAAAAGCAATAGAGGAAAGTACCCGATTATGAGATACTATATTTATTTTGTGTGATTGCCGGAAGTCTATGGGCAGAATTGAAAAATATAGTAGGTTATTTTGAAGCGAATTTAATAAGCTTTAAGATGCTGAAATGTAAAATTTAATTTAAATATTAATTTTGCTGAAAATTAGAAAAATGTGAATAATGAGCTTTCGGCAAAATCGCAAAAGTGTGCTCCTAATATGAGAGACCTCGGAAAATCGCTAATAAAGTGCAAAATACATCAGTATTATCTACTATTAAAAACCTTTATTTAATGTTTCTCAAATACACATGTGATGCAGAAGCGTATTTGCAACAATCGTAAACCCACTTATACTCAATGTTGTACCTAATCTTCCCCCTCCACCCTTCCCTCTCAAATCAAGGTCAGCATAATCTTATAAATTCGTATAAACCTTCCCTTAACCTTAATATAGTATTTTCTTTTCTTTTATTACTATACAATAACTTTCATACTCCAGCAACCCCTGAGTATCTCATGTTACGAGCACCACGCCTTGCGGTTTCACGATCACCAAATCTAATCTCTACAATTGAGCAACTCAACATATCCCGTATTTTCTTATTAATACGATCTTACTCTATCACTGCATGCAGAACTTATTGTCAAATATTTATTAATTATATAATAATTATATAATATAATAAACAAGGTTTAAAGACTCATATCCATGGTACTTGACAACATCCAATTTCAGAATTTCTTTCTCTGCAACGACTACACGCACGATCAAACAATGAATTTTCCACTAAATAGGTTTTACCCCAAGGGCAATAAGTTCATGGTGGAACCAACAGATAGGGCCTATTAGTTTAGCAGAAACCTCGCTGTTGCATATTAAAAGCCTATCTCATAATAGAGGACTTTCCTCTACTTCAAATATACTTGAACCTAGAATGGATTCGAATCCTTTATGAATACCTCGAAATACGAAAATATTACTTCCAAATAAACTCAAAGTTGGATCAAATATGTTCGAACCTTTTATAAGTACCTTACTCAAAATTTAATGTGTGAAACATAATGTGTATGTATGTACACACAAATATCTCTTTATTACAATTTTACATGGTAACTTATATATTTTAATAACATAGTATATTTGAATATTACTTGTAAAAGATTCAATTCTTTACGATAGAACCTACTTCTAAGATAGGTATACATTCCAAATCTTGCAGGCATTCATTCTAAAATTCGAAACTAACTAATCGAGATTCGACTACTTTGCAAGTATGATGTATGAAATATTGTTTCTTATGAACTAAACTCAAACTAAAAAAAAATAAAACTTAATTATTGAATTTGACTTAGATTTTTATGTACATATTGAACTTAATCCCAAGCGCACACACAACTGGCATACTGCGCTGACACAAAACTACTGCGTAGTTTACATTTATTAATAACTAAAATCAGTCTTTATCAGTTAGACAGTAATTCTTAATCTCTCATAAAACACTATATTATAAAAATTTTAAACATTTTTTTAACTGTTTTAAATTTGCACATCTCTATAGCATATAAATTTAAGCACTACCTATAGCAATTATACTGGCCGAATAATGTTTCCATCAGATCTTCTAGCAACACAAGATGCCGGAAATGCTCAAACTAACAGACTTCTCTCGACGCGGGTTTTCATCGTTACGCTTCTCGAGTTTAACAGCTCGCTCGCAATTGTTTGCTTGTCTCTTGTCGCGGCAGTAAGTCGCTGAGATTTTTCGAAATGAGACACAGAGAGAAAGAGAAAGAGAGAGAAAGAGAGAGCGGGGAGAGGAAGAAAGAGTAAGATGGGAAAGAAAATACAATAAAGCAGGCGCGTGAGAGAGGGAGAGCGAACGAGATACTGCAAAAACTGAGCACACGGATTTTTACGAGCTACTCGCGAAACGGAAGTCGATAAAAGAAGAGCGAACTGTTTCCCACTTTCGCTTGTACTGTAATTAATTATGAAACGTTCGGTGAGAAGCGGGGACAAGCAGAGAGAGTTGGAGGAGGACGGTTAGGCGATACGAGCGGCTATAAAAAATTCTCTGTACGAGGCGCAGTCACCTCGTGGCCGCACTCGAGCGTGCATTCGCTCGGACGCAGCGCTGTGACAGCGGGATTTTTCCGATCGTCCTATATATGTGAATAAGGGGAGAATTTATAGCAGCAATAGTTAACCGGTATATAGCGGCGACGTTAATGCTCTTGAATATAAGCAGAACGATAACGTTAATGCGGTCGATTAAAACGACGTTTCTCAGCCGTTTATGTGAATGATGTAATGCCCGAACGGGGAATGGCGGAACGTTAACAAACAAATGCATATATGTGTATTATAATATATGGATATTTTATTAATATTACCAAATCATAATCAAATATTAGGAATTTTAGAGAACAGAATTTCAAACAGAGAAAAAGAGGGGGAGAGAGAAAGAGAGAGATAAGAATTTAATTACGCGTGGAAATATTCATGCATTTACAATGTACGGTATCGAAGCAATCCATAAGAGATACGAAATTTCGACAACCACGGAAGCTATTTCGAAAGAGCCCGGGTCACAATGCTGCCGTATTGCCTCACTCGGCGTCGAGATAGACGAGGATTTTTGCAATCGCGACCGCCGAATGAAAACCTTTGACAGCGGCCATTTCTGAAAGTGCTCCAGCATCTTTGAGAATTTCGCCCGTCGCCCAAAGAGAGATGAAAGGGATTCGTATTCCCCGTTACGGTATTGCGCGATACATCAAACGTAAAACAAATTTGTGCGCGCACGGGGGACGCATTGTGATATCATAAGGTATCATAAGCGACGCTCGTGACCCTCTTTACCGCCGGCGCGGCGCGGCGTTCTCTCGTCCGTTCATCTCACGGGATGTAATCCCGCGCTGGCAACGACATTTCCGGTATATATGTATAGTAATGCGAAAAGACATTTCCACGGTGGCGATTCAATTCTCAACACCGTGTACTGAGACAGTATAGATGCGCTCGAAGGAGAAAATATTATTTGACATGCGATATATTGCTTTGTCATAAACGACAAAGAAACATCTTTTGGAGAGAACTCTAGAGAAGTAACTGAGCTCTTTTCTATAATAACTTAAATATCCAAACTTGTATACATGTAAAAACTGCCATTTATTTATAATTTATGATGCATTTATAATTTGTTTCTATAATTTTAGGTTAACGTTAACTTAAAAAAAATAAGATTCTATTTAACTTAGATTTTTTACTTTAAGATAATATTAATTCTATCTTCCATAATGAAATTACATATAGTGTGATAAAACAAGAAATTTTATTATTTTTTATTTAATTCTGGAAAGTAAAAAATTTACGGTCTGTTTTATGTGTGACATTTATCTTACCAAAAATATCTTTCATTAATTTCTTTATACTAAAAAGTTTAATTGCAAAAAGTTGTTACAGTAAGACAAATGTAATCAAATGTCCAATAATAGCTAAAAAATGTATGGAGAGAAATTAATTAAACAAAGCGAATCGTAAGAGCAGGGTGGATATATCATGTCGCAAATTGGTGAAATCAAAAGGTTGCTTTACGCTCTTTTTTACGCGCAATGCACGGCTGATGATCACATCGTTTGATTAATCAAAAAACTCGATTCATCTCGGCACAGCTTTATCGACGTATTAACGGCGACAGAATTTACGCTTTATATGCACATGCTCGGCAATTTACCGTGTTTGTGGTCGCGAAAAAATTCGCATAGCAAACAATCGATAAAATATGGTGGTCGTCATTGGTCGCCATCAAATCTCTATGCGTTTAAATGAACGGAATTGAGAATTGCGGAATTTGTGCAAATTCGGACGTATTATAAAAGTTATTGGAAGCTCAAAGCTTTTTACGTTTCAACGGTCCTTGAATTTTTATATTTTTTAGCAACATAATTTCTTACAATAAGTTGATTGATATTTGAACAAACATTTTTCCTCTATTTTATTCTTTAATATCTGCGATTTAATTATAGACACATCTTATACAATGTAAACTAATGCAAATTAAGCTGACAAATTTTTAAAAACTTTCTCAATCGCTTTTAATTTCAAATTGATACATTGGTATTGAAATGTGCGTCTCTCGATGCAGTTTTCTATATTTGGATTTATATTCGCAAAAATTATATTTTTTCTGAAAAGATTGCAATTTTTAGTACTTTTTTACTAATTTCATTATCGTACCAACTAACTTCTCGACGTTATATACAATTTAAATTTCGCCCGAAACGCGAATTATCCATCTAAAATGAAAGAAAAAAACTCATTCTGACGTCATAATTTATTTGTGCTGATTTATGACGAGTCGGTACAGGCGCCCGTTTTATTCACGACTCTTCGTTCTCATTCAAACTATCCGTGCGCGCTTAATGAAATATAATTTGTCGTCGTCGGAGAGTTTCACGTCGGCTAGTTATAAATAACGGAAACGCTTTATCGCGGGGATATTAAATCATTGCGCGTACTCTCGCTTTTTTTTCTCTCTCGCGCTCACCATCTTGCGAGCAGCGTTTTGTCGCGCGGTAATTTGCCGTAATAACGACGAATTTCCTGAATTTTTCGGCGCTGGCGAACTGATCTCAATGGAATTTCCCTTTTTATTTTTCTTCCTTTTCCCCACACCGCCACCGTAACGTCGGGTTTTAATCTTGCCCGCCGCGCTGCGGCGCGAGAAAAATGTTACAGGTGCATTCTTTATGTGCGGACTGGCGCGTTTTAATATGTACGGCGTCGATCTTGTTTCAGGATCTGGCATCAAGGTGCCGATGGCCATTCTGAATTGCCTCTACGCCCGCCAATTGTGCTACGAGGATCCGTCATGCAGCGCCATTTTGGAAATTATACCGAGAGTCTGCGGTCCGGAATTAGGTAAGTTAAACAATTTAAGTCACTTTTTCTTAGCAATACATAATTAATTCATTTTTGTCATATATATATAAATAATCGTTAATAACACTTTATTTATACTGCGACGCTAACCATCATGCATACTTATTACGGTTTAAATTCGAATTAACAATAATTGAATCGGTGATAATCAAGGAAATTGATCATATGCATTATTATTATAATTAGGTCGTATAATTTTAACTTCTATGCACTACATTTTAATTTGATGCTGGAGAATGAGACGTTTTATTTTATATTCTAATTAATTATCTAATACCCAACTTCTTATCGATTAGTTTAAATATATATTTTACAGAATTTATAATTACATGCTTATATAGCATCAACTGTAATAATTTGTTTACGTAACAGACTCATATGTCTTATTTTCGAATCTCTGATATTATGCGTTTTTTAAATAAATATTATCGATTGCAATTTATTACATTTATCTTAATTAGAAAATTAGATTTATTTTTTGTAAATTAAATGGTATTTGTACACAATGTAATATTTACAATATACTTATATAACATTAAATTAAATACGAAAACTTGGACGTAATTTCGAATATATGCAAATATTATTTGCTCGTCAATTGAAAATAATCACGAGATGAAAGCGCAATCGACGCGTCTTACTTGCGTGTTTTTTACATACATGCAATATATTACTCACGCAGATTATATTAGCTATAATTCACCCAACGTGAATCGATAAGTCGAAAAGCCTGCGCAAATATAAAAGTCGCTATCGGATGCAATCCATTCGTTCTGCAAAATAAAAACCGAAGCATTCGCTCTGCATCGGCATTGTCCCTTCCATTTTTATTTATATAATCCATTATTCATGCTTCGAACAAACATGGTGTCGGTTCTTAATAGAGAACTGAGATATAGTTCGGCATAATCTGTCGTCACAGTTTACAGGAAAATTCTGGCAAGTCGAGAGCCTTTAGTTTTCTATAATATATAGGTCATGCAATACTGCTAGCTTCGCACAATATATTATTCATACATTCCATTCTTGTAATAATCATAGGCCCTAATGGATCGCACATGATTCGTAAAATCTCATATTAGTCCATGTAAAATAAAAGGCAGCTCGCGAGCGCGACAGCGTCACATTTGAAATTTTGCGACGTTGCGTCGTGGCGCCCCGTTTCCGCATTTCCATAAAATTTGCATGCGGATTCCGAAATCCCGAGGAATTTCTTATGGAAAACGATGATGACATTAATGTCTGAATTTTGAATTCTGTGTGGAAAATACCATGTGGAACTCCCAGAAGTATCTTGCTGGCAATTTTTATAGGTAAATATTAATTTACAGAAATTATTTGGAATTTGTCGTTTTTAGTTCATGCGGGTACTTGACGGAGTTTACTTTAATATTTATAGTAAGTAAATTCTTATTGATTCTGTTGATATAAGGATAACATCTCAAGATGTTATCTTTGTAACATTTGGGGCAATGTAACGAAATGCAGAGGATGTATAAAAAGTTCCAAAATATCTAAAAAAAATATAAGTTTTAAGAAAAAAATATTTCAGACAAAATTGTAGGGTTTAAAATTTTTAAACCCTACAACTTTGTCTGAAATATTTTTTTCATAAAACTTATATATTTTTTTTAGATATTTGGGTCGACCTGGAACTTTTTATACACCCTGGAAATGTTATCCCAATATCTTTTACGTAACTTTGAGAATTCTTTATTTCCAAACTTGTCGATTTTTTTTTTTTTATAAATCAAATTTGCAATGCCTCACTTTTTCCTCGGAATGATTATGAATTATAATAGATAACACGACGAGCGTCTCATATCGGACGTTGATAAATAAAAGGTATCGCTCGTCGCACCGTTCTTAAAATAGAAGTAAAAGCCTCAGTAGGTTTTCCGAAGCTAAAAGCTTTCCGAAAGCAGTGCCATTTGTTTTACTTTCGCCCGAGCGATTACATGATAGATTATTCACGTAACTTCTCGGTATCAGAAAGGAGCGCGAAAGCCGCGACATAAATCACAATGGACGGTGTCTTTGTTTTAAAAAGCCGCGTGCGCGCACTTCCACTCTGTATCGAACGAAATAAAATATATAACGGCGTTCGTGCGCGCTCGCTCGAAAAGGCGAACTGCTTTTTAATGCAACACACGCCATTTTGCATTTTGCACGTCGACAACGGACGAGAGAGGTCCGCGAGAGCCTCGAGAGCGCGTTTCTTGCGACACGACCGCGGTATTCCGTTTGCGATTAAGAAATAGACGGAAGAAAGTGACGACGAAGCTTTGTGACTATAGTATTATTATTTACACGTAAATGCATTTTTATGTGACAGTAATGAGCTGAAGAACTAAGTCTACTTTTAAGTAAAGTTTTTAAAGTACTTGAGAATCTAGTAATTCATTTTCATATAATTTTGCATCAAATTTGATATTAATTTGCATAAAAGAATAATATTGCGCGTGGACATTTGTATTTCTATTCTCAAAAATCCATCTAATCATAAAATTCATAAGACTGATAGCATTCAAGCACACCAATCTTACTTGTATATTTCAAGACTTTTTTTACACAAAAAAGTTCCTTTGTCTATTTCTCTCATATAATGTATGTTTTTATTAAAATGTAATTTTTATTTTAATTAAGTTTTATATATATTTCTTGAAAATGAGAAATTTATATGATAAGTAAGAATAATTATTGAATTTTTGCTTTTTCTTAATAACATATATATCCTTTCAACTTGACAATTAGAGACATCTAGGGTGACAAGAGAATTTAGCGGTGTCGAGGATAACTTACAGTTTGCACCGCGATCGTCCGTAACGCGATTTCCATTCAGATGCGACGACGGAAAGAGATGCGACTGAGAAGAGAAATAACGAAGGTGGGAAGAACGGGGTCGTCGACCGTCTTCTCTCGAGCTGTCCTCGTTTTCTCTCTCTCGTTACGATTGGAGGTGGTGAGGTGGAGAACTCAACTCCATACCTTTCGATTTCGTCATTGAATTAATCACTCCCACGGGAACAATTATTCTGGAGGAGCTTAAGTAAGTCGGCCGTGGAGGTTTAAAAATAATGCTTCTCGGCGCGACGATTGAGTGTAACAAATTGTTGCGATTTAATAATTAATCTTTTTTTTTATTATATTTACTACATATTAACGAGGAAAAGAAAACGTGAGAGATGGAAATGTTTATTATTTATTGTCTCGGGCAAGATTTTTGCAATGAACAATTCATGCGATTAAACGTGCAACAGCGTCAACGTGAAATGCAACGAGTTACGCATTTTTTCGATAATTATAATGTAATTATACACATGCGTAATTATATTACATGCGCGAGTAACTTGAACAAAAGTAAATAACTAAATGTTAATCCGACCATAAATTAATGAATTTTAATTCTCACATTCTGCTTGTCATAGAGTAGAGTTTAAAATGATATTCCTGTCACAGAGTTACGTTTTAAACAATTAAGAAAAGATGTTCTAAATTGATGCTTAGTTATATTAAACATCACTCATGCTGAAATTTTATCGGTGATTATTCTATATCGCGTGATTAGTTTAAAACGTATAACGTAACAATTAAAGTAACATTTTCGATTTTATTAAAATATTTTGAAAAATAGCAAGGATGACCTCGTTTTGATTCTTGCAAAATGATGTATTGATATACTTTTAAAATTTAATCTTTCCTTTCTCGTTTGCTGAAATTTAATTCTAACTTTGGAGACAGCTAGAATAAAGTACAGTGAATTATACTGATCCAAATTAAATTTACAGGTTTGAATTTGGGGTGACTTTTAGATTTAAAAATAAAACGAACAAATTAATTAGATGTCTATCCAATTTATAAACTTGAGTGTCAACAATATAATTAACTTGGATTTATATATTAATAATATTTAAGGCTTTAGTTGCCCTTGGTATAGTAAATGTATGGAGTCTTCTCCAAAAGACTTATAACTAATTACGTTTGGAAGTTCTTTCTGAAAATTTGTCAATTTTGCAAATGTCAAAAACGGCACATTTTATATACATATTACTCTCGTTTTACTTACACAAAAATATTTACTAAATTATAAAGCTATAACGCTATTTTGACAATTTCTGATAATAAAAATGTTAATAATCATATTACATAAAAATAAACTGTAATTAACAACAAGATAAACGGTAAGATTCGCGCGACCAAAATTTCGACTAATTTCTCTTACTAATGACGAAAGCCATTTATGCACGAATTGTAGCGATAACATTGCAGCTGTGATAACACGACTATTCGATTACACGGAGATATCTGTGTGCAGAAGGTCTTCATTTTCTGCATAACATGATTTATCTTGATCGCAAAATTATATTTAGTTTGCTATACATAATTAGTTTACTATCATGTATTTTTTATTTTGCCAGTCAATATTATGCACATCTGCAATTCACGATATCATTACGTAGATGTAGATAATCATTATCATTACTTGTAAAATTAACCTCTTATTACGTTAATCCACGATTACATCATATTTCTTTCTTTTTTAATCTCAACAAGAAAAATATATTTATCACGATACTTATCACATTTTAATAAAATTAAAGCATGATATTGTTTTGGGTATAGTACTGTTAAATACAGTTTACGTATTTAGAATAAAGCATGATCAGATTTCCGATGCTGTGATTATGATATTATTACCGTATCTCATAGCGCGTAATTTAATAGTCCTCATACAAACGAAATTATATCGTATCTTTCACGTTGTTATTAATTGAATGAAATATTTGTCACGTCAAATCGTATTATCAAATAGTTCGTGCAAAAGCTCAATAAATAGATTTACATAATAGTATCAGAACATTTCTTCAAAAATTAGCAGTTTTTATGAAACTTGCATGCTTATAAGGGTTTATATATTTTTCTATTTTGTCTTTTTATATACTAATTGTAAAATATTCTAATATTCTAATATTTCAATA